TCGCTTCGTCCTCCGAAGTAGTTGAATAAATACCAAACCCACGCCGACTCAAATTTCTTTGTTCCTGCATTACAATTTGTCCACGTAGTGTGAATTCATGTGCTAGCAGGTGTGAACTGACTTCTCGCCAACGCTTAAATGGGGAAGTGTGAAAGGGAATCGGGGGGACGTTGGGACGTCATACCAGGTGCAGGTCTTAACGGAGTGTTTCGATAACCTAGCAAGGGGTGTCTCACGTGTCTTAATATTAAAGAACATCGAAGCTCAACTCCAGAAACTGAGTGTGTCTGACTACATGGGTGTGTGAATGACTTTAGTGTTCCGTTATAAGGTCTTATGGTATCCCCGAAATTCCCCTTTGAACCACATGACACATGTGTATGAATGTTATATACAATTTAGAAATAAGCAACGAAATAAATATATGTTTATTCAAAATAGATAACGATTCAGAACATTGCAAACGTCCGTAGATTTCACATACCTTGATCGATGGTGAGGTCTATCCGGTGGATTGACACCATATCCGATTACATAACTGCGTCCACTATCTCCCAACATATAGTGGATCTGAGCTTTGGCGAAGTCCTGATATTCTGCAGTTTTAACGCCATTTTCAGCTGCTATCAGTGCTATGAAGGCAGTGTTAGCTGTAATGAAACATTGTAATTATGCATATAAATTATAATCAAGTTGTATAAGTAGCTACACATTATTACGGCCATATCGCATACAGAATGTACCGTTTACAATTGGCTATGATGGATATGCTCATGCTTAATGAGGCTAAGTTTTTCTGTCGCAATAAACCCATACCGTACACTCTTATGAGATAATGCAAACCGATGGGAAGTTAGCTAGCTGTTTGCATTCAATCCAAAATGTAGATCTCACCAGTTAACCAGCCAGTCGTGACAAGCCTGTCAAATGACAATGCACTTGACCATATATAATTAAAACTACGTTTCAAATAAATCTTTCTGTGAAAAATATACATTGCTGAACATGTTAAGGTAGAGATGCAGGTTCGTGGGCACTCAGAGTGAATTTTTTTTTTTTTGCTTTTTCTTACCCAGACAGTCTTGGCTAGATAGTGTTAACATTTCGGAGCATTGTCATTGTTGAAACATACTCAAAAAAACAATTTTAAAATATAGGAAACTGAGGCACGCGTATGTGATTAAAAGTCCCGACAGTTTGTTTGCGTTGCTCTTTGATTGACAAGTCACTGTTGATGTTATATGTAAATGATTGCTGGCCTTAGTTACGGAGCAGCCGGTGTGCGACTTCCTGTCCTGGCTCTCTGTTTACTTACCTCAAGCGCGATCAACTAGCAAACTACAAAAACAGACAAGACGTAGACGCTTCCAGCATGCAAGCGGAATGAAACAAAACATACACTTGTAACTGATAAGTAAACTTTTTGACCCTTAAATAAATTGATTTTTCATTTATTTTCATGTAGGAGGTAGCGTCGATAGGGCGATTTAATTTTCGCGCAAAACAAGGCCACAATTTCTTTTGTTTTCTTGGTGCATAGATTTCAAGCTTTTTCGCATTGTGTGCGAAACTAAAAAATGTTTCCACACATTTTTACTCCAACGGCATTTTAACACTGCAGTAGACATTTTTCGTTTTGATGTAATGATTATCGTGCTGATAGAATTGTGATGCAATTGACAAACAACACTGCTGTTGCTGTCATCGATAACTAACTTTTCAGTGCCAAAATACACAAACATAAAATGCTCGGTTAATTAAAAATAAAAAAAATACCCAGGAAATTACCAAAAAATCGGCAATGAAATGCTGTTTTACACACCGCGGAAAAATCATGCACTCTTTGATGCCATCTTGGTTACCTTAATCGGAAACCCCCTTGTCAGCTAGCATGCACCGGTAGCGATGTCTACGCTGTATGGCCGTGATCGGCGACCTCTGGTACTAAGGAACTCTATGAATGAGGTATTTCCAGAGGTCAGGGTTCGTTTAATTTGCATCGATCCACCTGTCTTAATCGTCTGTGGTTGAATGAAACATGCCTAGATTTACAATACTTCCCCTTCCAATGTGACTTCATTTCGAATTTGTTTCACCGGCGTTTGGGTGATTGAGTAGTAAAAACTGCAAATAGCCGTTGCGTAGTAAAATATTCGGGCCGATTTCAACCTGGTCGACTAACTTCGCACGGTCCACGGAAACTGTGTTATACAAAGTATTTTTTTAAAGGTTTGAGGGAAGGTAAATTTAGACTCAACCCAATCCATTATGACGACCTACTCAAACCAATCCTAATAAACATGAGGTATTGTAATTCATTTGCAACATATATGTTACAAACCAAATTTCATATTGAAGTTGTGGGGTTCTGAAGAACGATTTTACGTCACGTGACCGTTAATTGTGTTATTCACAAAATGGTAGCCCATATGACAGTGAGGTTGAATTACCTATAATACCCCCTAAGTGCAGAGAAAAAGAAATAAAAACAAAGTCACCAATTGACTAGTCGAGTCGAAGTTATGTGACATACTTGTATAGATATATACAAAACAATTCGCATTAGTCGTGTATTAGTCACTATAGCGGGAAAAAGCATGTGATCGATTGCAATATTTTTCGTTCAAGAAAAGACGTCTCCATATTCACGTGCCACACTTCATGACAATTCGAGAGTTAGAAATGTTGACGTCAATGCCTGCTGTAAATCCCGGATGACTGACATTCAACACGTATAATGTTAATTGTTATCATTGAACTTCATCCGCTGAACTAACAATGTCATGTTTCTAAAGCAATGGGAAGTGACCAAGCGTCAAACGACCCACAAACTTTAATGGCCGTTCGGGGTTGTTGTCACACGCAACGTAATATTACCGTAATTAGTATAGTACAGGCGTGATGGTTCAAATACCAAAATCGCAACAGTAACAGAAAGACTTCCCTGGCGGCGATGATAACATACGAACACGGAGCCAACAGATGAGGTTTCAACTGGTATTGGTATTATTATACTCTGCAAACATCAAGTACAATAACGCGGTAAAACTCCACTACTCCAATAACTAGATACTTAAACTCCAATACAATTCAACGAGATCTCCGATCCTCCTACAGTGTTCTATTACCTATTCAACCATTTTCTAAAAAATATAGAATATGCCACCCAGACACAGTACGGTTCTAGGACATTCTCAGTGACACGGAAGTGGTAAATAAGTCGTATGCGACAGTTGTACAAATAAAAAAATGGCCACCAACCATGTGACCAATCAACATTTTAAAAGTTATAAAAGTCATCAGTTCGTATTAACCTTATAAACATTTAGATAAAATTCTACTCTGCTCAAACTGACAAAAAAATATATAAAAAAACAATGCATGAAGAAAATCTGATAAAATATAAAAATTTGATCCCAAGCTTGCAACCTTGAATACACTTTGTTCTGCTTACAAATTACACGGTTTCAAAATACTCGACATATGAACACGTTACGCATAATAATCACTGTCATGATATGTAATCAACAAAGCATGTTACTAGTAACTACTAACATATGGCAATTGACCCTGTACACACAGGAAGTCCTGATTATGCAAATTATGTAACCTTGTTTACTTATACTTGTTTGGAGTTGAATAAATCAGTTCTTAGTACATTTGTAGTATTAGCTAGAGACAGTGTCTTTTGTCAATTACTAAACATAACAATCACCATAGAATGCAATTTTACTAACCAGAATAACGCAGCGAGCCCCAATCATGTCGATGAACCAAACCGCCTGGTGTATATGGGAGAGTTGCATTTGGTAACCAACTATCGACATAGTTTGTTAGGCTATTATAGTATTTTATCTTTCCTGTAATCTGGTATAATAATACCTGTAATAAATAAATTAATACAGTGATAACAAAGTTCAAAGAATAAATTTAAAATTAAAGCTGCAAGCAGCATCATATGAGTCGAGGAAGGAAAAAAATAAAGTACGACCAAATATGTGAGAGACCTTAGGGACGTTTACACTTCAATAGAATATACTACTTGCTTTACATTTAAACAGTGGAAAAGAAATTTGAGAAGGTCATTCAAGCCAAATGTTACCATGGCTAAAATATGAATGACAGAACTCAACGTGTAATATTTTTTATAATATTGTCTTTGGTCACAAATGTTTTCCAGCAAACGGTGAAGCAATTAGCATCATAGCATAAAAATATAAATGACCTAATATGTAGAGTGACATGTGATATCGAAAATAAAGTGTAGTAATTAAATTAAACGAGCCTTTGGCGAGAAACTATATTCCTCTACAAGTTTAATAAATCCGATACCACATGCCACGAATTGGAGATCCCATCTATTCGTTTCGCAGCTTTTTTTTCGTCCTAAATACATAGGAATCCTAACCTTTCTGGGGATTATCAAGGCGTTCAGTACATTTGCATATTTGGGCGTTGTTCCTTGAATACAATCTATAGCAACCACTAAACAATGTTGCTGATTGAAGGAGGAATAAATATATTTCCGGTTTTATGGCCATATTGGTAATTCTATTCGGATTTTCACACACTATGTGCTTATTCGGCGACCGGTACAATGCCGTGCGCTGCCAAGCTAACGTTCAGGAAATTAGGAAGTCCTCGTTTGCGACTTGTTTGAGATCACCGGTACATATAAAGGAAACATTATCATTTACCATAGGATACAATATAATATATCACAGATGTTGCTTATTGTCTGGCGATGTATTCACAAACTTGCACGTAAGGTCTACCAAATTTCACAGGTAAATTTACACGAGCATCATTACCTGGACAGCTGGGTTCTTTGCTGACCATCCATATGCCCAGCTTTTGCGGAACAGACGATGAGCTACATACAAATCTTCAGCATTCTGTAAATAGAGCTCATTTCCTGTGGCCAAATACAGCCAGCATGCAGCGAGTCCCAACTCGTCGCCATATTCAGTAGGTCTGCAAGAATAGGGGTAGTAGAAGTGTATTTTATGAAAATATGTTGTCCAGACAAATAGACTTAAATTATCAATAGTTAAAAAAAAACAAGTACTAAATAAATTTGCTGAAAATTTTAATTAAAAAAGTGAAGATTCTTTTATTATAGTACAATCATTTTTAGGTCGTGACGGTGATTGAGATGTCACAAATTATTGAGATTATTTAATTGAATTTTCCATCGGCTCTCTTCCTGGCTAAGTGCTCTTTTTAAATATATACTATACATGTATATATGATGCGGTCTAGTTTTGCGAATATCGACAGGTTTTTCAATGTTCAACTTACTGGTAGTAGCCATTAGCTGGATGATTTCCGGGATAATTGATAGCAAATTCGAACAGTATCTCAGCGTGGTTAAGTAGTATGGCAGCGTAGGCAGGATCTAAAGAAAACAATTGCATAGTTTAATAGGCGTTATTTACACTGAATCAAATCATATCATATCACACGAGAACATATCACAATATATCGCATAATATCAAAACACGATTCAAAGGGCGAGTTTGGCGACTCAATTCAAAACGTTATGGTAATAAACAAATTTAGCAATAATTTGTATATATTGGTATCTGGCGAATATTACCCGCCACAGGAACAGAAGAAGCGATGTTCGCAGTATCATATATGATGGAGGCGTCAACTAACCCAATGAGCGAACCCGCACACCCTGGAAGCATCGCGGCAATAATTATAGATGCACATTTACTTACCAGATGTAGAAAAGATTATTGATGCCACAGCCAATGCTGCCGCCGTGTCACCGGCAATATCTGAGCCAGGTACAGATGAATTGATCATTAAAGCTGGTCGCTCAGCGGTCATCTCTTCTGGTCGACCCCAGTAGGAATGATCAAGTCCTGGGTTTCCAACCTGATTCATGTAAATTTACATTATAAATGAAATATGTATGTTTATTTATCTGTTCATATGAAAAATGGATAAACATACTGATTATATTCTGTTATTTCCTTGTAAAATAAAACACTGAGAGTGAGAAACTGTTAATAAAACAATTTTATATTTTTAACTGACAGTGAGTAACGTTCAGTGTTGTTGTACTTTAAAGAAGCATTGGGTCGCTTACCTGATAGTAAAACTTATTGTCTTCCACGTGACACTTGACGAAATAGTTGGCCGCCCATCGAATACCATCCAGGCCGTAGTTCCACGCATTGGCAGCCCTGTACGCATCCTCAAATTGGATCATACCCCATGCTAGATTAGTCATGCTTGCCGCCATTGGCTGACCAAATTTAACATTGTCACCAGCTGTAGGACATAGTTATAAAATCATAAATACCGTTTAAGATACCCGCCCAGTATCCATCTACATTCAATATTTACCCAAAATACTTGAATCCATCGCCAATAATAGTATTGATTCCATCGTTCCATTTGCAATTTTATTCTCCGATTGGCGAATAAACACAACTAGATGCCGAAACGACTAAATGGGTCACTGTTTTGCAAAATTCAACATGATAACAAACACATTTTATTGTATCACTCACCGTCATACCAGCCTCCTGTGAGGTCTTCTCCATAGAATCCCTGGTCGTCTAAAGCCGAATCACCTCTGTACGGTATACGATTTGTCTCTTCCGGGATATCCCCAGAACGCTGGGCCTCGTAGAACAGAATAGATTGATGAATAACCTCGGTATAGTCGTATCCCCCTGCTCAATTAAAACCCAAGGAAGTTTTAGCTACGAATGCTCGCAACTGTGATCACATGGCGTTATTTGCGCTGTTTAACAGTTTGTTTGTGAATTATTTTGAGTTTTATATATTATTCTCCATATAGCGATGTGTACAAAGTATACCCACATGAACGCCGAGATCTCATTGTGAGCGAGAATTGTATTTAAATCTCTCTCACTCAAGGTATTAGGACCGTTGGAGGCGATGACGCCAGAAGAAAATGGAAGACTACTTGAAGAATCAAGTCTCGTGGTTCTCGCCCTTTCAATGAGATCTTGGCGGCCATTTACGTCATGGTTCTATCGAAAGTTGTGCCTAATAATGTAAACCTCTAAACGGCAGGCTATCCGCATGCGTTAAATCTAAGAGCCGACTCGTATATTCTTCTTCTTTCATATAACAATGTGAATATAGCCTGCAATAATTCAACCGCAGTAACATTCTAAATTGTGCATATATTTACCTGTTATTTCCAAATACTTGAGGCCTACAAACAATGAAATGCATATATTTAATCAGCAATTGTCGGGAATGACATGATGTCATCTCAGCACAACTAGGATTAATGGCAAGCCACTGGTATAATCATATGACTAAAAGTGTTCACATATATATTGTCCATATTAAGTTGTTGACAAGTGGGAATATTTTTCATGAGGCTGAAATAATTTTAAATCATCGATTTTTTTTTGCAAATCCAATCAGCGACGAATGCTTTAATCATTAATGTATCTGATCTGAGTTTTTGCAAAGTCTGTGTGTGCAACTGGATTGATTCCAAGGTCCGCTGCCACCAGCGCTAGATAGGCAGTATTTGCTGTGGGGACAATATGTCCTTTGTAAACATTGTAAATCAATGTAACGATGCTGTGACAAAATGAATAAATTATTGTCTAAGCTTCTCGACGATTTGGTATATGTTTCCATACCATCTATAAAACACTCAGCGCAAATCGTCGCTTTTACATGTGAACAATGTTTCTCAGAAATATGTTAGCTCTTCAATTTGCGTAACCTTGATTGTTTTTATTTCTATATATGGTATTTATTCACAAATATTAAAGGCCTTCGGCCATAAAGTGATTACAAAACAAAGAATATTTGTGCGTTTGTATAGTAAATATTACAATAAATCTAAAATTTCGTACCTAACATTTAATGTATGAAATACATATTCACCAAGGCGTTTCAAAATGACATCGTCATGTGATTTCATTAAAAGAATAAATTTGTTGAAAGACGGTGGATCATAGAAGTAACGGGGTAGATATCTATCACGAAATTCTTATAAAAAGGACAGACTAACAGGAAATGGTACGCATCTTCTATTTGGTTTGTTTCACAAAGTTGACATATCCTTTGGTTTCTTTCGATTGCTCCTCTACTTACTTCAATGCGAAGACAGTGTGCCGAGCAGCAAAATCGTGATATGGCATTTTTATGTGAAATAATAGTTATGGAAGTGATATATTTCTCTAATATTAGATTTGTTTTAAATTCACGATATGTATCTAATTTATTCATGGTACAAATATCACTAAACAACTCACTGTACAAATCCAATTTTATCATGTCCAAATCAGCGACGTATGCTCCAATCATTAATGTATTAATCGGCGAATTATTCTCAATTTGCTAATTATAAATTATGCTTTAAATACACTATAATTAGCTGTAAATACAATGAAATCGGACTATTTACAACGATTGAATGTCATACCGGCAATTGCAGATTGAAATCCGGCGTTGAAATCGCAAGAGACTTTATTGGTTTTAGAATTAGTTCTGTCATCTATCCAGTTGTCGTTGATATCAGGTCCACCGACAAGAGCACCATACAGTATTTGAGGGTTGGGATCTGGACTCTGGTAGTCGGTAAAATCACATTCTTCGGGTATATCAGGACAGGAACTGAAAGAAAATAATTGATAACTATGTTGAGTAATGTACATAACAACGCAGTATACATTATACAGTATACTCAGATTGCCAATTTCAATCATGGAAACACGGTCTCGACGTGATTAGAAATGGATACATATATTGAAGGCATTGGTGTGAATTTATCAGTGCAATCATATTTCAAATTAACGACAGATAAACTAGAGGTATTTACATTATTTTGTCGTTTGATGGGGTGCCTCTGAAAAGCTGTGAAATCGACGGCTCGACTTACCTTGATTCGTGCTTGGGCCGTTCAGGGGGGTTGACCCCGTATCCAACCACGTAACTGCGACCGGAGTCTCCTAGTATGTAACGGATCTGAGTTTTTGCAAAGTCTCTGTGTGCAACTGGATTGATTCCAAGGTCCGCTGCCACCAGCGCTAGATAGGCAGTATTTGCTGTGGGGACAATATGTCTTTTGTAAACATTGTAAATCAATGTAACAATGCTGTGACAAAATGAATAAATTATTGTCTAAGCTTCTCGACGATTTGGTATATGTTTCCATACCATCTATAAAACACTCAGCACAAAACGTCGCTTTTACATGTGAACAATGTTTCTCAGAAATATGTTAGCTCTGCAATTTGCGTAACCTTGATTGTTTTTATTTCTATATATGGTATGTATTCACAAATATTAAAGGCCTTCGGCCATAAAGTGATTACAAAACAAAGAACATGTGTGCATTTGTACAGTAAATATTACAATAAATCTGAAATTTCGGACCTAACATTTAATGTATGAAATACATATTCACCAAGGCGTTTCAAAATGACATCGTCATGTGATTTCATTAAAAGAATAAATTTGTTGAAAGACGGTGGATCATAGAAGTAACGGGGTAGATATCTATCACGAAATTCATTATAAAAAGGACAGACTAACAGGAAATGGTACGCATCTTCTATTTGGTTTGTTTCACAAAGTTAAAATATCATTTGGTTTCTTTCGATTGCTCCTCTGTCTACTTCAATGCGAAGACAGTGTGCATAAACATAAACACTGAACTCTTTCAAGACAGTCATATTTCTTGAACCCCCAGATTACAATACCACGGAATCAAATATTTTAAAAAATACTTCATATGTTAAAGGCCAGACTTTGTTGGTATTTCTAAATATTATGAAAATTGTTTTGTTTTTTTGTGCTTGTTGGGCTAAAAGTTTAGTGGCAGACGACCATTGCAATCTACATGAAAGCAATACACCTAGATATTTGTAGTAAGAAACTACTTCTACGTGTTTACCGTCGTAAAACCACTTTTCATGCTTTGACAAAAGGCCGCCGTTTTTAAATGCAATTATTTTTGTCTTTTCTAGGTTTACGGTCATTTACCATTTGTCACAATATGCTCTTAAGGTGTTTAATAGTTGCTGGAGCCCCACAACAGTGTCTGAAAAGATGGCAACATCGTCTGCAAATGTCAAAATAGTTCCACCGAATCTGGGTACAGTTAAACGCCATGCTGTTCAGTTTGTTCAAGTTCCCTTACAAGCTCATTAATAAAAAAAAGAAAATAAAAACGGGCTCAGCATACAAACCTGGCGAACCCCAGTTTTACACTCAAAATACTCAGTTAACCCACTCCCAGTTCTGACACACGATTCTACGTTAGAATACATACTAAATAAGATGTTAAAGATTTTGCCCCTCACACCTCTTTTATGTAAAGTATACCAAAGCCTCTGTTTTTCGACAGTATCGAAGGCCTTGGAAAAATCGACGAATGCACAGTAGAATTTGCCACGCTTTTTTGTAAGATATTTTTGCACTAATGATTGCAGTACAAATATACTGTCAAAAGTGGAATAACCATGATTGTAATGAGTACATCTTATTTCAAATAAAACTTAAGCCTTTAAAAAATTGCCATTATTTTAGTAAATCAGAAAACCTCGTCCATGTCTGCTGTAGAAGCGCCCTCATACCTTGCACACGGCACTAATTAGTCACTGTCACCCGGAATCATCAAACATTTTAATAGTTTTATCTAATTTGACGATATTCGTACACTTGCCTGCATAACGTAGAGGTCCCCATTGATTTCTGTACACCAGACCTTTTGGTGTACGTGGTATACTACCACCCGGTAACCACATATCCATGTACGTGGTGATTGCATCGCGATAACGCTGGTCTTGGTTGTACTGGTACAGCAGAATCTGCAGCAAAAAATAATAATAAATATAGATGAGTTGCGAGTTTCAAGCCCAGCGTGGCTTACAGCAATACACTGAAATTAACATGAGTAATGTGATTATATTAATGACATCGTCACGTAATAAATAAGCCACAACTCTTGTACACTGCCTTCAATAATACACTTGTACCATCGCACAATCGATAACAGTGTTTTAGATATTACATGTATACATATTAATGAGGTCACTTTACCGTACATGTATATGGTCGTATAATATGTTAGTTGTATCACTTGTATAACAATGCATTTATTATAGCACTGGTTGCATGTTCATATCCTAAATTTCAAATTGATTGGTCCAACAATATTGACAAAAAGCAAGACGGTTTCGATCAAATTTCGCTTGAATCCCTAATAATAATAATGAGAGACATGTTTGTCAAACTAAGCGATTGATAAGTAGCATGTTTTTGTATGAGAGTACTATTTCCGATGTTGGCTGTATTTTCGATTTTGCATATATGAAGTTCAGCACGACCTAAGAACTAGAACAGCTGCACATATACCAACCTAAACTACAGTATGAACCAGCCCAACCTTGCATATACTAAAATATACTACAGTATGGACCAGCCCAACCTTGCATATACTAAAATATACTACAGTATGAGCCAGCACAACCTTGCATATACTAAAATATACTACACTATGAACCAGCACAACCTTGTATATACTAAAATATACTACACTATGAACCAGCACAACCTTGCATATACTAAAATATACTACACTATGAACCAGCACAACCTTGCACATACTAAACCAGCACAACCTTGCATGTACTAAATATACTACTGTATGAACCAGCACAACCTTGCATATACTAAAATATACTACAGTATGAACCAGCACAACCTTGCATATACTAAAATATACTACAGTATGAACCAGCACAACCTTGCATATACTAAAATATACTACAGTATGAACCAGCACAACTTTGCTTATAATAAAATTTACTACAGTATGAACCAGCACAACCTTGCATATACTAAAATATACTACAGTATGAGCCAGCACAACCTTGCATATACTAAAATATACTACAGTATGAACCAGCACAACCTTGCATATACTAAGCCAGCACAACCTTGTATATACTAAAATATACTACAC